CGCCTGTTCACCTGACGGAGGGTATTTTAAGGCTCTGTTGTCCGGGCACTCAGCCTTGTGTGTTCTGTGCCTCGCATAGGTTGCAAAATGAAACAGCAGCTAATGAAGTCCTTGCAAGCATCCAAAACTACTTCAAGTCCCAGCCCTTTGATTTTAGGGGTGCTCAAATCATTTCTGGGCAAGAGGAAGGGATATATGGATGGATTACAGCCAACTATTTAATGGGAAATTTCCTGGAGGTGTGTGAAAACAAATGCATGGTTTCTAATCTTGCTCTTGACCCCTTCCCCTGTGGGTGGTAGCTTCAGCAGAGGTGCATGCCAACAGGGGCATCTGTCCCGGGTCATTCCTACTGTGTGACTGTGTGACGCATCAGGGAAACACCTGGGACAATAGGTGAGAACAGACACGCTAGCTGGTGCAAAACCTTGGCTCACAAGCAGGACCAAATGCACAGGGGAGAGGGAACAGCGTCCCTTTACGAGCAAATAAGACATTGGGGGAGGGGGGAGACTCGAACACTGGGCTATGGGTAACAGGAAGGGCAGCTGGAGAATGACCCCTCTAAGCTGGCCCATAGCCACCTGGAATTTACAGAGCCTTCGGGCGGCCCGCTCCCCAGGTCCCTGTGTCCCCAGGTCTCCGTGACACGCCAGTCTCCACGCGCCCTTCTTCTTTGGTGCAGAGGGAGGCGGACTCCAAGAGACAATCACCGTGTTACAGAGACCATATCCGGCCCCACACCTATTCTGTTCCTCCTCAAATATATTTTTTAAATCTTTAGTTCACTGCCAACAGTTAATATTTTGAAAAGTACACATAAAAATTCATAGCTTCTCCTGACCCCACGCCCCACACGCTGGAAGTGCTGGTCACAGTGGACTCACGTTCCTGCATGCAACAGCCAGCTGGGACAGTGTCACACACGGACTCCCCAGTTGGCCAGAGTCCCCACCATTCCCTGTTGTCTACACCTAACCTACTGTGCTCATTTCTGCTGCCTGCCCAGCTCCTGTAAGCATTTGAGTTCACCACCCCGACATAAAGGAGAGGTTTGGCCCTGAATGCTTCCCCATACGTCCTAGTTCTTAGCAGTCAGAGACGGGTCTTAGGTGGAGAGCCCTGGGCAAACAGAAATGGCGTCTCCGGCCTGTTCTCATGCTTTCTTCTCCCGCGGCGCAGAAGGACCTGTGGCACATGTGGGTGCATCCAAATGGAGTGGAGACCACAGGTGCCCTGGATTTAGGCGGCGCCTCCACCCAGATATCCTTCGCGGTGGGAGAGAAGGCGGAGCTGAACACCAGTGACATCATAAAGGTGTCCCTGTACGGCTATGTGTACACACTCTACACGCGCAGCTTCCAGTGCTACGGGCGAAACGAGGCCGAGAAGAGGTTTCTGGCCATGCTCCTTCAGGTACCTGAGTGGGGGGCGGGGAGCAGGTGTTTCCTGGGGGGTCTCAGCTGAGGGAAGGGCACCTTGCCTTCCGGGGTCCGTCCTTTCAACTCCAGTTAGAAGGTGGGTGAAATCAGCATTTTCCGGTTTACTTGTGGGGGTCCAAGCGCGCACACTCTCTCTCTGTTGTGTTGACCACTTCCAGTGTATATGAGTCAGAATTCCAAGGAAATTCCAGAGCTCCAGACATTTTATAAATGATTCAAGTCCCGGGATCCCTTTATGGCAGGCGTGGGGAACGTCCGGCCCACAGGGCTATATAAGGCCTTTGAAATCATTTGGTCTGGCCCTGCCAAGGCATTAAGTCTCAGCCAACACGCCTCTTCCCAGGAGAAAAGCCCTGGAAAATCCTCTTTTCTCAACCTCCTGTTATTTCAGGCAAAGCTTAATGCTCCTTCTTCCAGCTCTGGCCCTGGCAGGGGGAGAGGGAGGGTGGCGGGGAGGGCTCCTCGGAACTCCACAGAAGGGGGCAGGTAAAACCATCCTCCCAGGGTGAGTAGGGGTCTGGGACTCTAACCTTTAAAGTCAGCTGGCCCTGAGTATACTCACCTGTCTGAGGTCTCATTTGCATATGAAAACACAAGTTTCCAGGTGTGAGTCCAGGACTGGGGGCAGAGGTGTGAGAGCCCAGCCTCTGCTGTGGACAGTCATCTCACAGGGACCAGCCATCTCTCCAACTTGCCTGGTAACCTCTGGATGCTGAGAGGGTGGCTCTGGCCTGAGCCTTCTGACTCAGGTGAGGGAAAGGATCCAGGTGTGATGAGGATCACCCACAAATGCGTGCCCAGACCTGCCTGACCAGCACTTTCATGTGCCAAGTACATGCTAGCAAGCCCGACTGAGAAGGTTCACGCAGATTATTACATCATGATCACTGGCTGAATCTGCATCTCATTTCCTCTTCTGTACCATAAGGGCCTGCACAGTGTGGTGAGAAGGACACCTGGGTAGATACTTGGCAATTATTCTCTTATTAACCAGTCCCCAGCCACCCCCCCGCTCAGGTCTCACTCTGATAACTTGTTAGACATTAGGGACTCCTTCCTTCCTTCCTTTCTTCCTTCCTTCCTTCCTCCCTTCCTTCCTTCCTTCCTTCCTTCCTTCCTCCCTTCTTTCCTTCCTTCCTTCCTTCCTTTCTTCCTTCCTTCCTTCTTTTCTTCCTTCCTTCCTTCTTTTCTTCCTTCCTTTCAGATCTTTTTTTTCTGTTTTTTAAGTAACACATGTTCAGTGTTTTACATCAGTCAAGATTTTACTGTAGGGAAAATAAGATGCTTTAGTGGCTTTGAAAGTAGAGTTCAAATCCTGCTCCTTTGAAAAGAGAACTCATAAACAGAACCAATTTAGGAATCCTATATAATAAAAGGCTAATATGCAAATCAACTGAATAGTGGAATGACCAGTTGCTATGATGCGCACCAACCACCAGGGGGCAGACACTCAATGCAGGAGCTGCCCCCTGGTGGTCAGTGCGCTCCCACAGGGGAGTGCCGCTTAGCCAGAAACCAGGCTCACGGCTGGAGAGTGCAAGGGGCGGTGGGGGAGCCTTTCCCATCTCCATGGCAGCGATAAGGATGTCTAACTGCGAGAGGGCGCAGGCTGGGCTGAGGGACCCCCCCCCCCCCCCCCCCCGCTCCGAGTGCAAAAGTTTTTGTGCACCGGGCCTCTAGTAGGTTATATATGTTTCAGGTATACAAGTATATATGACATCATCGGTATATTGCAGTGCATTCTCACCACACAAAACCTTGCCTCCTTCCATCACCATATATTGACCCTTTTACTTTCTTCAACCTTTCACCACCCCCATTTTCTCTAGTTGTCACCATACTGTTGTCTGTGTCTATGAGTTTGTCTGATTGTTTGCTTTGTTTGTTCACTGGTTGACTTCTATTTTATATCCCAAATATAAGTGAAATCATATAGTTCTTCTCTTTTTTCATTGGTCATTTTTGCTTAGCATGATACTCTTAAGATCCTGTTAACTGGATAATTTTGAATTAGATCCCCCCAGGGTCATGTCTGGTAGTTAACAGGCTCTTGGGCAGGCCAGGCTGATGGGGATAACTGGGCCTTGTGTCCTTCACCATCAATCAGGCTAGTTCAGCCTCTTTATGAAGCTGTTGCAGGGTTCTGAAGACAAGAAGGAGACAGCAAGCCACAGGGCATCAGCACTTTTGGAGACTACTTGCATCATGCTTCTATTGCCCTATTGTTCACAGCATGTCACAGGGCCCACCCAGATGCAAGGGGTGGAGAAACAGATCAGCACCTTGTTGGAGGAGCTGCAGATCCACATCCCAAAGAGGCACCTGTAGAAAGATGGGAATAATTCATGGCCTTATCTGCCACCTGTCACACAGATTGCTATGTGCTGTCAGCATTGGAGCTGGGCTTTGATGGCTTTTTGTTTCACTTCCCATGATTTTCCTACTCCCCATCTTGATGACCAACTGATGCCCTCAGGATAACCGCAGGCTGGAGTTTTCCATTGAGATGCTAACTAAACAATAATCTGAACTTATATCTACAGTTTCCCTGGATCTTAGCCATCCTGTAGCCAGTGCTCTCAGCTTCTGGAAATTTACTCCTCTCAAATGTGGGAAACGCTGCTTCAGGGATGCTTTTGCCAGTCCTTCGGTTAGCAACAGCTTTGCCATAATGTGTGTGGGAGATAGGAAATAAATACTGATTTTGTGGAAGCTAGAGTTGGAAGTTCTGAAAAATCTCTTCTGTTTGTTATTTTTTTAAAAAAGTCATTCCAATTGACAGAATTGATGAAAGTGGCAAGTTACGGGACTGCTCAGTCATGGGTGGCAGTGGTAACTTGGACTTATGATGGTCTTCAAAATGGAGAAAAGTGGTCAGATTTGTGGATAGGACCAAGAGAACTTCTGGATGGATTGTCTCTGCAAAGTAAGGCAAAGAGAGGAATCAAGAGAGATTCCTACATTTTTGGTCTGAGAAACTGAATGAAGGTGATGATAGCTCTGAAAAATAAAATGGATTTTACAATCATGTCTGCTATATTCAGTGTGATGATGTATACATGGACTAAAAGCAGGGACAGGTGGTTGTAATATAGGATTGCTCCGGGAGGAATAAGTCTTGTTTTTTCTATTAACATATTTTTATTGTTGATAGTATTACAGATATCTTCCATTTACCCCTCTTCTCCCTCCTCCTCTGAGCCTTTACCCCTCCACCCCAGGACTTCACTGCACTACTGCCTGTGTCCAAGTGCTATGCATATAAGTAAACAAGTTCTTTGGTTTATCTTGTATTGTCTCCCCAATTCCAATCCCGAGGTATGTCAGTCTGTTCCATGCCTCCATGCTTCAGTTCATATATTGTTGGTCAATTTATTCTGTTCATTAGAGTCTACAAATAAGTGAGATCATATGATATTTGTCTTTCTACTTTTGGCTTATTTTACTTAGCATATTATTTTCCAGGTCTATACATGCTATCTCAAAGGTAAGAGATCCTTCTTTTTTACAGCTGCATAGTATTCTGTAGTGTAAATGTTCTACAGCTTTTTATCCATTCATCTGGTGATGGGCACTTGGGCTGTTTCCAAGTCTTAGCCATTATAAATAACTAGTGGCCCAGTGCCCCAAATTCATGCACGGTGGTGGGGGTGTCCCTCAGCACAGCCTGCACCCTCTCCAATCTGGGACCCCTCAGTGGATGTTGGACTGCCAATTTAGGCACAATGGGATTCCACTGGGGCTAAACCGGCAGTCAGACAACCCCCTGGCAATACAGAACCACTGGCTCCTAACTGCTCACCTGCCTGCCTGCTTGATAGCGCCTAACCACTCTGCCTGCCGGCCTGCTCACCCCCAACTGTCCCCCCTGCCGGCCTGATTGCCCCCAATGACCCCCCCTGCTGGCATGCTTGCCCCCACCTCCCCTTCCTT